GAATAAGCAGGGAATATTTTTATGAGATTGTTTTTCAAAAGTAATTTAATGTAAAACAATGACTACAAGAAACCACTTGTGAGTGTTTCACAAGATTGTGTAGATGTTATGAACAGAGTCACTGCTTTGATTGATGCCTAGCCTTTTATAAGCCAAGCAATGGTTGCCTGAGGATTTCTTCCATATCGAAACGAGCTCCGTGACCACTTAATATTAAGGCAGCAAAGTATAAAAAGAACTCAGGGGAAAGGCTTATGTTTTGGCTTAAGGTGAAGAATGAATCTGAATAGTTAGAAAGGGATCAGGAAAAAAGGGAAGATGGTTCCATTCCTCAGTCTCTGACAGTCCAAGCCCATTGGTCTGTTCCTCTGAGGTGAACGGACAGCCCCGCATGCCTTTCTCCCATCTCGGCCTTAGGATCCTTCTGTCTTCCCTGTTGGAGATGAGACTTGGTTGGTTTCCCTTTGTAGCATTTTTTTGGTCTGTGCCTCTCAGGTGAACGGACAGCTTCACATTCCTTTCTCCCATCTCAGCCTTAGGATCCTTCTGTCTTCCATGTTAGAGATGACACTTGGTTGGTTTCCTTTGTTGCATTTTTCTTCTCATTGTTGAGTACAAAATAAAATGGCAGACCAACACACCCCTCTCCCCAGAGCAGGAAGAGATCCAAATGTTATCCAGGTAACAAGCCTTGGGACATGCTCTGAAAGAACAGCGGAGAAGGTCCTAGCAGATAAGGAGATGCCCAGCTCCGATATGCAGTGCCAGAAATTCAGGAAATTCTCCTACGAGGGGGCTAATGGTCCTCGAGAGGTTTGTACCCAACTCCACCACCTTTGCTGTCAGTGGCTCAAGCCAGAGCAACACACAAAGGCTCAGATCCTGGACCTGGTCATCTTGGAGCAGTTCCTGGCCATCCTCCCCCTGGAGATGTCGAGCTGGGTGAGAGAATGTGGAGCCGAGACCACTTCCCAGGCGGTGTCACTGGCAGAAGGTTTCCTGGGTCTGAGTCAGGCAGAAGAGAGAAAGCAGGAAGAGCTAGAGGTGAGAGCAATCCATGCCAGGGCCTTAGAATCGAAATGGGGAGCCCATGACCCCTGCACTCGCTCCCTGTTTGAGGCTGTTCTGCTGGAATTTATTCTTTCTGGTCCTTGAAAGGAAGATGTGGGGTCTGTGTTCATTTTATTTTGAAGCTGAATACGCGTCTCCAAAATTGGGGAGACCCTCTTCCACTTTAAAACAGCGTGCATCCTCCTCATTTGCATAGTTTTCCTATGGCACTGCACTCAATCCAGCCCTGTTGTAGGTGCAATGACACAATATGATGCCTTTCGGTCGGTTCCAGTGGGGATGGCCTTTTCTACTCCAAAGCGTCAAGAAAATGAGGAAAGAAATCCTACAAATTTTACCAATTGGCCAATATTTTTCTTAGAAAATCTGTGGAAGATGTTTCTTCTCTTCCAAATCCCTGTCTCATCCGCTGAGATCTTTTCCTCTTTCTTTTCTTTTCTACCTTCTTATTGCATGTCACGGATCCTCAGTTGGGAAATCTCTCTGTAGAAGATCAGCCTGATTTCCGCAGAGCAGAGGAACCTCAGCAAGACAGTAAACAGGATCCTCAGCAACAAGGGATCAGTCAAGGGAATGAAGGAGGTGTCCCCTTTATAGGTAAGGTTTTGTGCTAGAAAGATGTGTGTGTTTTTCCCGATGGGAAAGGAAAGAAGTTCCTGTGTACAGTATGTTTTCTCCCTGACTATTTAGCTGGGGATGGATTGACACTCTTCTTTTGTTCTTTCTTTATTTCAAACCAACCTTCTTTAGTTTTTCAGTTTTCTGAGACCTATTATATAGCAGCCATTTCTTTCTTTCTGTCCAGGAGACCAAGTGTGGACAGATGCATTTTTCCCATCTGAAACGGAAAACCTCTCAGGTGTAAATTTCGGATTGGGAGAGTGATTCCGGTTCTGGTAGGGTGTGGTAGTAGCATCTCTTTTTGCTACGCCTTCACTCCTCATTTTTTTTCTAATTCCCTTTTTATATAGTGTTTATAGCTCAACAGTTAGATCTTACTCCTTTCCACGTGGATTTTACGTCATTTTTGATATAGAGCCTTTTGGTCAAACTCCGGCTGTGATTCTGACTGATTTTGAGATCATGGTTTCTGACGTTTATATATAGGTGTTGCCGTAAGAAGTCCAACAAAATCATACTTTTAATCAAGAAACTTATTGTAACTAATCTGATCAGGGAAAGAGACACATCTGAATCATCTGTCCCTGGATTGAACTCCCAGCATGAACAGAAAAGTTTCTAAAACATAGGAAAGGGGAGTTCAACAACAGCAGGGAGACAAATATGTGAGTCTGCAAGAAGGCAATAGGAAGGAGACACCCAGGAAGACCTCAAAGGCCAGGGTGTCTGAATCGAAAGATGCACTGACTGAGATGAGTGTGTCTGTTGTACGTAAGCGTTTTTGAGAACTGTGCTCCCCCCCCCACTCTGCCACTGTGTCTTTGCAACCGAGATGATGCTAAAAGCATTCAAGGGAAAG